TGTACAAACAGCTGAAGGGCAAATCAATACGGCAATGGGAACAAGTCTGGCCCAGTTCCACTTTCCACAGCCCCGGCGTCAATCGAATAGAGAGATTCCACAAAAAAAAGCAAACCCTTAATTTTGCTCTGCAGGCGTTGGAAGCAACACAGTCGTTTTAAAATCACTTGCACTTATTTTTTTACACACACACACACACACAAATGAGTTTCTGGAATTATCCATGTTTATTGCTTATCAGAGGCATGGGATATTGCCCGCGGCGTTAACGTCAAGGACGTTGTGTTAAGTTTTTTGGGGGTGGAGCAGGATATGGAATGTTCTTCAATCGATTTGAAGCTGGTTTTCCGTAAGAAACAGGCGTCCGAATTCAGACTGAACTCAAGAGTCTCAAAAATTCAGCTCGATCTTAAATTTTTGTACAATTTACTTTAAACTGTTGTTGTTGATGATGTTAAATCGCACCTTTAATGTTGGGAGGGTGTCTCAAAGCCATTGGTCTTAAGGCTAAGACTAAGAGAAAATCTTGTTAAGCACCAGACTATATTCTCCTTTATTAATAATAATGATAATCCTTACATTTGATATAGCACCTTTTCATTTCAGGAGGACATCCCAAAGTGCTTCACATGAATTGTTGTGTGTTTTCTGGGCAAACACCCACTTTGAAAAGGTTATTTGCCTCCAGATCAACATTTTTTTTTGCGTGCCTGAAAAATGTTGAATCAAAATTACAGTATATCCTGTGAAGCTTATCAAGTCATTTGAGATGTCTCAAATGACGATAAAGCGATATATCAAATGCAAGGATTATTATAATTAAACCTTGCATATTATCCTTGCATAATAATAAAAAGTCTCTCTTTAAAATATGCCCATTTTATTTTATATTTATATTTATTTTATATTCTTTTATTTCAATATTTCTTCCAATTTTATAATCTTCATCCATTCCACGATGCCCATGCAGTTAGATTGTCTGCAATTTAGTTTCCTTTGAGTTGCCACTCTCATTTTCACTGTTGACCGTGTTAAAACAGTTTGAGGCAGCAGCAAACAAACAAAGCAAGCAGGATGCCACATCAGTTAAGTTCAGCTTCCCAGAAGTCATACTTAGTGCTCTTGTCAGGCTGCAGGTGGTGATAATAATAATAATAATAATAATAACTAATAATAATTGCATTTGATACAACAGTTTGGGAAATAATATCTCGGCCGTTGAAACGTCTCAGAGTACTTCTCGGGACATATTGTAAAGTAGAGTGACTGTATTTTGTGGGCGAAAAGTAGCAAACAAATTCCAAGGACCTAGAGGACATTCAGAGGAGAGCAACAAGGTTGATCCTCAGTGTTAGAGGAATGAGCTAGGAACTTTTTAAACTTTGTGTCGGGGTGTGGGTGATGCATGCATTTGCTAACATCTATTCAGATATCACTGTACACTTTTAAGATGCAAGTCTCAGAGAACAAGGCAACTACATTAAATCATTAACTAGCTTCCCCCTCCTCTTCCCCACCCCTCCACCCCACTACTGAAAAAAAACCTTGTGGATTTCTTTCTCCTTGGAAGATGTCTTCACAAGATTAAGAATTTATGCTCAGAAATGCTCTGTGACAGACAACCTTCATTCTTAATGTCGGATGACATTACTGCGCAGAATGAGGACACAAGCACGTTTCAATGTCGTTTATGACGGGCAACAGAGATATCGGCGGAGCATGGAATGCCGTAACTATTTGCAGTTAAAATTAAAACAGATCATCGTAATCAGTGATCTCTTAACAGTTTAGGTCATGCTGTGCAGTGTGCTGCGTTGCTGAGCATTCTTAAAAGGGGAACTGAAGTCCTCTAGCGACCGTGTTCTCTTCAATTGGGTTACTCAATATTTGGGAAGGTTTTTCCAGTGTTGTTAGAATGGAGATTGCCTTAGAACAAACTGAAGATGAGCCCAGAAGAGCATCTCACAATGATAAGCACTTGAAGAAAAATAGTAATAATAATAATCATTGTATTTGATATAGGGCCTTCTCACATCTTTGAGGCGTCTCAAAGTGCTTCACAGAATATACCGCAAAGTGATTTGACTGTATATTTTGTGGGTGAAAAGTGTCAACCAATTGCGCACGGCAGTGTCCCACAAACAGTTATGGATTGAATGCTCAAACTTGAAAAAAAAGTTGAGGGATTATTAATAATAATAATTGACTGACCAATTTATTCTTAGTACTTTTTTTTACCACCGGAAAAGCCATCTGCCAATCGACTAACAACCAGGTTCCTACCTACTGCTAGGTAAACAACAACTATAGCACCCTCCACGCTGGGCAGCATATCAGAGAGCCTAAACAGAGGCGTGTGGAGTAAGGAAACTTGCCTAAGGTTTCGCCTTGCCTGGGAATCAAACGGTAACCACTAAGCTACAGGACTTCACAATGAACAAGCAGAACGCCAGTTATTCGCACATTAATTGTCCACATACCCATGAGATACCAGCAAAAACTATTGAGCGTGCGTGCGAAGTTACACGAAAGTTTCTAGATTGGCTCTGACTCCGGCTAAAAGATTCTAGCAACCTGGTACATAGGTGCGTAACTTCACACGTGTACACCAACAGAGAAAACGGCAGAGAAAGCGAAAAAGGAAGTAAACGATGAAGAAAAACAGGGAGTAAATGAGGGGGGAAAAAAGCATCAGAGAAAGAAGTAATATTAAGATCTGCTACTGTAAAACTCATATAAACTTTTTAAACTTTGTGTTGGGATGTGGGAGATGCTGGACTCAACAACCTACACTGCATATAAGTAATTCAATGCAGCCTATAAGTGCACTTGCGGTAACGGGTCAAGACTAAGTTTCCCTCAATTCAATCCATCGCTGCAAGCAAACTTAAATTGGAAGAATTGTGTTTTGTCTACAAATATACACAGTCAATTCACTTTACAGTGTATCCTGTGAAGCACTTTGTGATGTCTCGAAGAAGTGATAAGGCCCGATACCAAACGCGCAAGGATTATAAGAATTGGAATCGTGGGAAATTAAGTTTTTCTGCGCATGTGGCGATGGATAAGAGTGTTTTCTGCGATTCAGTTGGACCAACCACCCTGCTCCAAGGTACTAAAATTAAAAAAATCCACAATATTTATCTGTCCCAACTGCCTTCACGAATGGGACTTCCTTAGATTTGAGAATCCTGCAAACAATTCTCAGTGGAATAATATACATGTAGAGACATCTAAAGTCTTCCGATTCTTACTACTGTACAAAAGCCAGACATTCTAATGGGAGGGTGGTGGAGGGGAAGAGAAAATACCGAATCATATTTAATAAAGCAAAAAAATGGTTTGGGAATAAATGAAAGGTTTTCAAAAGGAAACCGGGGATAACATCACTGACTCTGATGAAAGTGCTGGCGAGTTAGATCGCAGATGTATAGGGTTGTCACAGTCAGGGTCTCATCTGGCTGAACCATCCCTTCACCTAATTACTGTATCACAGTTGAAACAACCACGTTATCCCTTTTATCAGCCTGCATCTTGGTTTCCTCTGGTACCTTTACTAAGCTGAACTGTTCGAAGTGCAATCAAGAGTTGCGAATGGTGCTGTATAATTCTAAGTTGTTCTTTCTCTCTTAACGTCAAGTATTCATGGGGGAACAATTGCCTTCCTCAGGATTTTTTAAAAACACAGACACAAAGTTTTGTTGCAATTGTAAAATCCTATTCTGCAGAGATTGAGGTCACTTCAGTTGTTGTTGAGGGTGGGGGCTCAAAACTGCATTCTCAACACTCCAGATCAGCGAGGCTACCTTGAACACAAGCCATCAAGCTCTGCATTTCAGTATAGAACATGGCTTAGACCCTATAGATAAAGTCTAAACCACATGCAGCTTAGCGCAGAAGACAGCACTATCGCTTTACTCCCCCAAAAACTGGTCACTCAATCCCCGACTATTTATGGGACACTACTGTGCGCAATTGGCTGCCGCATTTCGCACACAAAATAGTCAATCCACTTTACACTATGTTCCGTGAAGTGCTTTTTGAGTCATCTCAACAACGTGATAATGTACTATATCGAATGCATGGATTATTATTATTTACTGGTGAGGTTGTGGATTCAATTCACTTGTTGTCAAGTCTGTCGATATAGACAGAGGGGGATTTTCATGTCTCCTATAGGAAGTTAGGAAAGCAATCTGAGATTCTTTCAGTCACCTTCTCTCCCCCACCCGATTCACCCTATTCAGCTCCCACAACATGGCTCAGATGCCCAAACAGCTATGTAAAGTGCTCCAAGCACAGCACTGAAATGTCAGCCCAAACTTCCGAAGTTCAGTCACAAAGTGGGGCTTGAACCCAAAGCTTTCTGACTCAGATACGGATGCAACCAACTGCGTCAGGTTGACACACGATGAGAAGAATGAATGCAGAATACATTAAAAGCAACGTTTTTTCCAAGACAAATTTGGAAGCTTGAACAGCAACGTGGGTAGGTATAAATTTCAGAAGCCACAAAGCCAATCTGCATGACTCCAACACCTTCCACATTTATCATTGCAACTCAACCCCCTATCAAAGAGGAAGTGATCAGAGACAGTCACAGCACAGATTAATACAGAGACAAATATGGAGACACCACGAGGCAAGGTTTAGCAAATGCATCATTGAATGGCAACAGTCAAAACCTCTCAGTAACACAGGTTCCGATTATCAGTAATAAAATGATAGATCGCATTAATGATAACCAGCTTTCAGCTGCCCGCCTTTCTGTAATAGATGCAATGTATACATTTGCCATTAACCCATCTATGGCAGCATTTCTGTTACACTGAATGAAGACACTGGGAGCTGTGTACAGTCAAGCCCCTCATTAAATTATTGATTTCCTTTGCCTTATCCATAAGGTTACCCCACCATGGCAAGTCAAAGGCTGCAATGAAAGTCTCTCTCCTCAATCACCTTCAGAGTTTATGGAGAGGAAGTCACGGTGATTTATTTACCTGGCATTTTCCTGTGCGGATGTCGTATAAAGCCATTGAGCCGTGTCGCGATCCCACTGCTATTCTGTTACTTTTCTCGCAGGAGCTCACCATGTAGAACCTGAAATTCACACAGAATCAAATGCAAGGATTATTATTATTACTATATTGTTATTAATCACCGACAGGCCTGAAATCTTCTGTTGCACTGTAGCAATGAACTGACTGATGCTGCAAACTAAATTAGCAAGTCTCAAATCCCTTTGCTAAATTTCAAAAATTCATATATGATTATTTTTAACACATAATCCTAATTTAGTGTTTTTTATTGATTCCAAACCAATAGACCGTGCACAAGACCTATTCTTACACTTGTACATAGGCCATTTAGTGAGCTTGATACAGTCCTATATTAGCATGCAAGCAGGAGACTTCCTCTCCTTTGCTACACAAATCATATACCACCTCTGCACTACCAAATTCACCAATTCTGGACATGTCTTTCGGCTTCTGCTATTGACCCTGATTACAATGGCAGTGCCTGTGGTTTGCAAGTGGACTGTGCTTCAAAATCTGATAAGCATATACTCAGGAACTCACCGCGCTCAGGGCTAAAGAGAATGCTAAAATGTGTAATTCATAGGAACAGGCACAGGCCAGTCATCCCATCAAGCTTGTTCCAGCCTGCCCATAATTATTATAAGTTACTACTATAAATTATAAAAAATAATAACTATAGTAAGCCTTGCATTTGGGATAGCTCCTTATCATGTCGGAAAGAGGTCTCATAGTGTTTCGCAGGAGTTACTACGAAATGGAGAGACTGTGTATTCGTAGGCGAACACCGCAGTCCAAATTCACATAGCAATGTACCCCTCACACAGCCACACATATGAAACGAATGACCAATTTTTTTTAAATGGGGAGATTGTTGGCCAAGGCACCGAGAGAAACTCCCTTCTCTTTTTGAATAGCGCCGTGGATTCTTTAACATCCTCCTGAACAGGCAGACGGGACCTCGGTTTAACATCTCATCCGAAGGAAGATCTTTATTAGATCAGGTGGATATTAAGAATCCCTCAGCAATACTATGCTGTTTGTTGGACATTGCACCAATTAGTTTCCGCATTCACTCACAAAATATACTGTAAACCCTGTGAAGCTCTTTGAGGCATACTCCTGACATGAAAGGAACAAATGAAAGGATTATTATTATTAACAATAATTTGGCTGTGGAGGGATAAAGCAATATAAGCAATATATAAACGCTAAATCTCTTTCTAGAACAATATAGGGTTTATCGTAGTATAATCAAGTGCCATCACTATCACTATCACCTGGCAGAATGGGTGGGCCGAATTGTGAAAGGCACTTGTATGTGCAAGAGCTACCAAAGTAAACTGAACACTAAATAGTTGAAGGATAAACTCTTAGGTGTGAAGCTGAATGTATTCGGGCAACCAACTGGAATAACTGTTTATCACACATTTAAGAAACTGCAGCAGACATAAAATGATAGGAGTGAAATTAGCAGCATTTCATAAAATTTAAAAGTGATAAATATTGCATCCTTCTATTTGATATACTGCCTGTCGTTGAAATGTCCCAAAGTGCTTCACAGGATTTACTGTAAAATGTAGTGACTGTATTTTGTGGGTGAACATGGCAGTCAATGTCACACAAACAGCTGTGAATAGAAATGAGTGACTGGTTTTACCTGGAGGCATTGTTCATCAGGAGACTAGGAGAAACTCCATACTCTTTTCGAACAGTGCAATGAGATCCTTAATGTTTAACCTTTAAAGGCAGGCGAGCCCTCGGTTCAATATCTCAGTGAGACATCCCAGCACTGCACTGGAGCACCAGCGCAGATGTATAAAATCAGCTTATAATTTTTGGTGCCGCATTTACTTAAAAGTTTGGAAAGACACATCACTAAACTTACTAGATGGAGCAGATCAGCTCTTCATTCCCATTTGCTATTGGGAAGCCAGGAATACCTATCCATGCAGAAAGATCATTAAAAAAAACACTGACCTACAAATTGCTGAAAAACATTCCTGAAGCCCTTTTTTCTTGATCAAGGACCCTTCGAGGCAATACATGACAATATCCATAACCTGAAAGAATAAATAAGGATGGCCAGGGGTTAATAATAACACTGCACTCTCCAGATTTATTGCAGTGAATGATTATGCAGAGCAAACCTTTGTTGGCCACCTGACAATACTCACCAGTAAACTGATCTATAATATTTTAATCAATGTATAATTGTATATCTACATATTTTAGTTAGATGTCAGGATGGCCTCAGTCTGTGTAGGCCCCTTGCCACTGGGTCAGAAGGTTCAATTCCTATCAACATATTGGAGCTTGAGCTCACAGTCTTAGCTGACACTCCAGTGCAATACTGGGGGAGTGCTGCAGGGACGTATTAGGTACGCAGTAAGCATGATGGTGGGTTTCCACATGTGTCAGACATCCTTGGTGACCCAAAAAAGTACTGGTTGGAATTTTAGGACCCCAACCCCTCCCCTCAAATATTGTGTTATAATTGGGCCATTATATTAATATAGTAATGTATAAATTAATATAATTTCTGACCTATCTAGAAATTAGTTTCCTAATTAAGGGGAGATTCCCAAAACTCTGCATGTTTATGTCTCCCCCTTTGCTGATCAATAATCTGTCATTGCATTTGTGCAATAAACAGGAGCCCAGGTGGTGAATATTAACAACCAAGGTGAGCCGACAGTGATACCTTGCAGGCACAGCTATTTGAGCCGGAAATTAAATTTTAATTCAATTCCAAAATAAAAATAGATCGTAGAAATGTCCTGATTTGCAGTATGTTCTGGTTCCATCTTCAAAATAGCCCTTTAACCCTGTGAGAAATGGTATTACAGACACCAGATTGGTACGTCTTAATGCTGAGTTTCATAAATCTTTCGTTTATTGGAGTTCAGATGGCAACTACAACCAAGGTTGAGAAGCAAGTGAGTTACATGTGGTGGTGGAGCTAATTCTGCTGTAAAAGTCACAGCGAGAATATAATCAAGAACAAATCAGTACCAACCGTGACTTCTGCTGACCTCATAAAAATCGGGGCTGAGGTAGAGTGCTAAGTGGGGCGTGTCTGAATTTAACCTGAGTCCTTAGTAATAAGCCACCTGAGGAGTCTATTCCCATATTAAACACCCGTTACTAATGGATAGTGGAGGAATATCCAGCTTCACTATTTGACATTTGGAGAGTGGCTACTTTCAACAGAATCAGGCACTAGCCAAGTTGCACTTGTATTGCAAGATTGTGTTAAGTAGGCCATTTGGCCCTTCTGTTTTGTGCCTTTCACCCAAAATCACTGCCTTGAAGAGCTTCACAAACCCAACTGAGGGATTCCCGAGCAACCACAACAGTAACAACAAAACAAGGGGGAATGGGGATGTTGACTGAAGGCATGGTCAAAGAGGTTTGTTTTTAACATGGTTTTGAAGGTGAGGAGAGAAAATACAAGGCAAAGGGATTTGGGAAGAACAATACATTGGGCCACTTTAGATCTGGTATTGTTTAGGTCTGGGGCTGTGACATTTCTACCAAATCAGAATGGGCAATCCTTTTAAATCTGGGAATAATAATAATCCTTGCATTTGATATAGCGCCTTATCATGTCGTTGAGACGTCTCAAAGCGCTTCACAGAATATACTGTAAAGTGGAGTGACTGTGTGTTTTGTGGGTGAAATGAGGCAGCCAATTGTGTATAGCAGCGTCCACAAACAGTTGCAGATTGAGTGACCATGCTTTTTGGGGGAGGGATTATAAATCCCGGAAAGCGATCTGTCAATTGACTAACAACCGGGTCCCTACCTACTGCTAGATAAACAGAGGCATGTGGGGTAAGAAAACTTGCCTACGGTTTCGCCCTGCCGGGAATCGAACCCGGCTCCTCTCATTTGCGAGGCGAGTGCTCTAACCGCTATAGGACTCCACAATGGCTATACGATAGCAATATGAACATATTTCCAGTTGAAAACAACACACGGATAGCCTCTTGTGTCCTAGCGACCTGAAAAAAAAGTTTCAATCTAGATACCAAACCTTCGTCCTTTTACTTACCTCCACGAGGAGGTCCACGACATCTGACGGCATCTTCTCGATCAGAATCTCGACCACCCGCAGGATTTCATTCTTTGCGCGGGACAAGGTGCTGGTGTGAACGTTTGGCTGGGACTGAGTGTTGGCTGCCAGAACAGTGTGTCGGTGAACCTACAGAAATATATTCTCACATTAATAATAACAATAATCTTTGCATTTGATATAGCGCCTTATCATGTCTTTGAGATGTCTCAAAGAGCTTCACGGATTATACTGTGAAGTGAATTGACTGTATATTTGTGGGCAAAATTGACTTTGTGTTTGTGGGCGAAACCCAGCAGCCAATCACACACAGGAGTGTTCCATAAACACTGATAGATTTTTAAAAAACAGAGGGATTAGGGGATATGGGGTAGGGCAGGTAATTAAAGTTAGGGCTGAAGATCAGCCATGATCTTATCGAATAGCGGGGCAGTCTCGAGGTGCCCAAAGGCCTACTCCTGCTCTTAATTCATATGTTCTTATGTTCTTATAAAGAGTCATGGATTGAGTGACTTTTTATTACATTTTTAATAATTTTTTTTTAAAAAGGAATTATTACCCTCGGAAAGTGATCTGCCAATCGACGAGCATACCTGCAGGATTGCAGCGGAGTATTTAGACTGTATGAGTTCCAAGTTCTGACGTGGCGCTTGAACCCACAACCTTTTGACTCTCATAGGCAAGAGTTGCTACCAACTAAGCCAGGCTGACACACAAATCTCAGCACAATCACAAACATTTGTATGCAAAAAGCGTTGAAGGAGGCAAAATGTCAATGAGAGTACACACTTTGAGCAAATGTCACTGTAACTGAATCCCGGGTAGCACAGTCAACTGAGGACCGGAGCAGAAGGTTCTGGTTTTGAATCCAGAGATCTTTCACAGAAGGTGAGGCATGCAGGAGTCCATCAGATAATGAAGAAAGGACCAGGCTGAGGGATATGTTCCCCACTCTGTGGTCAAACAGCTCTCTGACACTAACTGGCAAGACTCGCACAATATTATTATTGCATTTGATACGACACCTTATCATGTTGTCTCAAAATGCTTCAGGAAGTGTATTGTCAAGTAGATTGACTGCGTATTTTGTGGACAAAACTCAGCAGCCAATTGCGCACAGCAGTGTCCCACAAACAACAAATTACATTTGTATAGCGCCTTTCACGTTGGGAGGAAGTCCCAAGGTGGTGGGACACAGTCGTGAATTGAGTGACCACGTTTTTTTTAAAGGAGTGTTACTCTTGGTTTCGGAGGGAGAAAGGATATCACTATTCCCGACCACCCTAAATTAGAGATTGCACAAGAACTATGATTGAAAAGGCAGGCGAACCAGTTGCTTGCCTTCTAGTAATGCCCTAATAATAAGCCTTGCGCTTGATTTAGCGCCTACCGTGTTGAAACGCTTCCCAGCGAATTACTGTCAAGCGTGGCAACTGTGATATTTGTAAGCAAACACAAACACACGTCACTGATGCTCACCTCACGTGCGATAGTGGTAATGAAGGCTGGAGGCCTGGCTGTGGCTATGAGCGAGAGAGCATGACGTGCTGAGCGGGCGGAATCTGCGGCTGGGCTAAGAGGCAGTACCGGCAGTTTGCTAAACGGGATCAAATGAGAGAAAAGGAGAGGGAGGGGGTGTGAGGAGGGAGGGAGAGAGCGAGAAAGAGAGAGAGAGAGAGAGAGAGAAAAGAAAACATTAGAAATACAGAGCGAAAAGATTACCAAGCTTATAATGTCACTTCAAGGTCAGTGGAATCATTCAAACAGTTCGAAAATAATGGACTGCAACAATGCGGAGTGATTAGAATGCAACAAATCCCAGCATCAGCTACAACGTCAAGTAATTGTACCGTTCGACATAGTGCACATCTGCTTGACAAATAAAATGGTTTAACAAATAAAATGGGGGGAGGGAGGAGGGAGCTAATTGCTAACAAATCTACCCTCTAGACTGGAGGCGAAGATATCGAGTTTAGATCTTATAAATGAATTGAAATTGTGCCAGGTTAGTTTTTGGAGTTTTATTTATAATAATAGCTATATAAATATTTATGTAACGTCTTTCACATCAAAACGAATGGCTCGGAACACTTTACTGGCTGATTAATCAGAAGGGAAAGTGGATGTTGTTACACGTGTAAACGCTGTTCTAATCTGCACCAATGACGTCCCATAAACAACAATGAGACGAGCAAATTTGGATTTGGAAGGTAAATTGGATTGAAAATGGAAAAAGGCGAATAACTGGGAGAAAGACTCAAAATTTCTTCACAATATCGAATATCGGGAATATCGAAGTCCCGTGAATTCAACCCAAAACACATATCTGATGAAAAATAAAATTAATATCAAAATCAAAAGCAAAATGGGATAGTGATCAGTGTTTTTTTAATTAATGAATGATGTTTCAGCCTTTTGAAGGTAATATTGATGAATGTGCTTCTGTATCCAGCTCAACTTCAAAGTCCTCATCCTTCAAACTGAGCATCTCCCAATCCCTGTGATCTTCTCCTACCTCACTCCTCTGTCCGCAACCACCCCTCCCCACCACCCACTTGCTAACTAGTGCCCATGCCCTGCCCCTCCATGCCACCAACGGTAGCCGAGGCTTGAGCTATTGCATCACTAACATCTGGAACTCCCTGCTTCAACCCCTCGGTCTTGCCTTCTCTCCAATCCTCTTTAAGTCCTCCTTAAAAGGTTACCAATCTGCCTGTGCCCAGGATAACACCCCACTCCTCCTTTGCTCAGAATCTGACCCAGTTAACGTAAAGCATCCCGAATAATTATCCTATGTGAAGGGGTGCAAATAAATGCAAGTTGTTGTTATTGCTATCACTGTCGGTTATGTTTCTTATTTCCAGCATTTGAATTTTGTTGCTTATATTTCTTGCAGGATTACTTACAACCATGTGGTTAACATTTTATAGGAAATTAAAAATTTCAACGCGTTTCTTAATTGCACAGCACAATCTGTTCAAACAAAGGAACATTACTCCGGAGATGGACAGTTTCACAATTGATATGACAACATCTCAAAAAGCTCCTGGAAAAATCGGATCAGTTACAAAGACAGGAATGCTCTTCTGGAGACAAATGCGGCAGCTAATCCTGCACTGGTAGCATCCTGCAGACAACAATGAGCTGAGAACAACAACAACTTGTATTTATATAGCTCCCTTCGGGTGGGTAATGTTTTAGAACGCTTAAAGAGTGATAGAACTCGATCACGAGCCAATTCAATCAGTAGCCAATTTTAATTTGTCTGAGAAGGAGAATATTGACTAGGGCAAATAGGGAAGAAAAATCTCCTTGTTTCTTTGAATTAATAGTGAGGGGCGGGTGTCACAATATTAATAATAATCCTTCCATTTGATAATGTGCATTAGCACGTTGAAATGTCTCCAAGCACATCACAAAGTTTTCCGTAATGTGCAGTGGTGCGTGTATTTGTACGCATATCCTTTAATGTCCTCCTGATTCAAAAGAATCCAAATTAAGGAGTCAATTAAAAAGAGGATGATGATCTGGAGATTAATCATTTTTAACTTGAATTTAGCATTCTATACACATAGACCTCATATAACAATTTTCCTTCAAAAATCCCAAAAGATATTTAACGGCAATCATATGCCAATTATTGCCTTATAATTGCGTCCGCTGAAATTATTCTGATGCACACTGTTAATCCATCGACTATCATCTCATTACGTCAAGGATAAATGTGAATTCCTTTCCAGTAAGAATTATTTGCATTGAGCACATTTCTCCCACAAGGTACACAGTCGATCCACTTTACAGTATATTCTGTGAAGTGCTTTGAGGCGTCTCGACGACGTGATCAGACGCTATATCAAATGAAAGGATTATTATTATTATTAACACAAGCCTCCTATTTATTTTATTACAACTCCATCCTGCAGTCCCTCCGCCTCACCCCCTCCCTTGTCTCCTTCAAGACCCATCTCAAGACCCTCCTCTTCCACCGTGCTTTTGAGCATCCTGCTCCCCTCACTGCTCCACCCTGCCCTATCCCGACCCCCAGCTCGGGTCTGAAACACTGACTATCCAGCGCCTTGGGACGTCCTCTCAATGTGAAAGGCGCTATACAGGGTAATGCTGTTGTTATCATTGACTTGGACAAGGTGTATTAAAGGCACGCACTACATATTTTGTACTACGTATTTTCAGCGACTGTCTGGATACATTGGCACAATTTTGAAGAGCAGAGTTCTCCAGATACCCTGTGCAGGATTCCTTTCTCAGTCAAATTCACTTCCACCAAAAAATGATTAATTGCTTCTCCTTGCTTCATGGGACGTTGTTGGTGGCAATTACTGACTGCATTTGCTTACAGTCTTGCAGTCTAGTGGTTAGCACACTCTCTTCGCAAACGAGAGGACCCGGGTTCGATTCCCAGGCAGGGCAAAACCTTGGGAAAGTTTCCATCCTCCACATGCCTTGGTTTATGTAGCGGTAAGTAGGAACCCAGTTATTAGCTGATTGGTAGATCGCTTTCCGGGAATAATAATCTCTCCACAAAAAAACAATGTGATCACTCTCTCGACTGTTTGTGGGACACTGCTGTCTGCAATTATCTGCCATGTTTCACCCACAAAATACAGTCAATTCACGTTACATTAGATGTGATCAGGCTCTATATTAAATGCAAGGATTATCAATACATAATTATACATATTATATGAATAGATATTATTCACCACATTTGCAACACTTGAAAAACAACTTGTTGAGTTTTGAGACGCTTCGATGTGACAAGGTGCGAGTGAAACACAAGCCGAGATCAGCAATATAAAAGCGCAAAATATTCAATTCAAACGTGTGAAGATGCTTCAGTACTTTTGCTTTCAGATCATCCGAATTAAAGCCCACCGTGATACACGCTGCTCACAGTGCTTAACACGGTGGTGGGTTGGCAAGATTTAACGAACCGCCCTCGTTACGAAATACATGCTGGAGCATTAAATTCGATTCCCTTTAAAGATCCAGCAGACACATCTGTCACTTGCTGTCAAAGAATTAAGCGGGCGGTGATCAAGAAGGGAACAAACACGCTTCACATCTTCAGAGGGCAACAGGCAGCCACAAGCCCTGACCTCCTGGTATAATTTGTCCTATTATTAACAAACTGCCTTGCGGCCGGGATATCTTACAAGCTGCGTGTCTCCAGTTTGGCAGCATATGCTGCGGACATTTTCAAAGCCTCTCGCTACCTCCCGCCATCCCCCTTTTTTGTGAACGCAAAAAAGCATAAAATATCCCCTAGCGGGGTTCTCCTTTGAACTTGGTAACAGGCGCGACACCAAAGTGTGTTGCTGCCTATTGCTGTAGCAGGTTGGGGCTGTTCAAGGCAACAGCTCTCATTTGAAACGCCAAGGCAGCCGTCTCCTATCTTTTCAGCTCACTGAAGCATAATTAGCTGAAAGGTTACCTCTGAAATCGGGGGAGAACAGTGCATGTGCCTCATGTTAAACAAACTGGATCCTTAAAAGGAAATCAATCTTTAAATTGTGCGTTAAAAATATCCGACCAGCTCCATAAAAAACGTTTGATTTTATACAAAAAATAAATAATACTGAGAATCCTTGCATTGGTACATGTAGCACGGAGAGAGACCTAAAGCGCTTCACAGGATTGTGAAGTGCAGTGACTGTCGTTTTGGGGGAAAACTCGGCAGCCAATTTGCATCAGCAATGTCTCACTCCCTTCTCTTTTTGCGCACTGTAGTGCTGTGGGAGCTTTAACATCAAACTGGACATGCAGACGGATCTCGAGACTACCTGAAGAACAAGCGCATGAAATCTTGGTTCATGTTTCAGCTTAGGAACATAAGCTCGGTGTAGCTCGGTGGTTAGAACACTTGCCTCGCAGGCAACCTGGGTTTGATTATTAGCAGGGCAAAATCCTAGGGCAATTTTCCTTACTCCACACACCTGAAAATAATCGCTCAAGAAAAAAAACAATAATAAATTGGTCAGTCAATCCACAATTGTTTGTGGGACACTACTGTGCGTTTCGCCCACAAAATGTACAGTCAATCCACTTTACAGTCTATTCTGTGAAGCGCTCTGAGACATCTAGACGACGTAATAAGGCGCTATATCAAATGCAAGGATTATTATTATTATTTATCCACAGTCTTTTGGGGGAGAGAGTTCCAGATTTCCACTACCCTTATCATTAGATTGGTAGCAGCACAAAGTCTAGTTTTCCCTGATCTGTACAATTTGTATTTTATTTGCCATTCTTTCTTCTCTCTCCTGTACAGTCCACACCCCCGATTCCTTTCAGTCTTCCAATTCGGTTCTGATGAATGACAGCAAGCTATTCCCTTCTCTTTCGACCTGCTGAGTGATGCTTTCCACACTTCTGTCAGCGTTCCACATTTACAGCTCTATGGCATGATGGAGAGGTTTTAAATCATACCCTGTGCTCCAGTTATCCAGGCCTGTCAGTAGCTCAAGTACAGCTCTAAACCAGTGAGAAGTAGCTAAAGGTAACAAAAGTGTGACTAGTACTTCCTTATTCCTTGGGGAAACCTAGTTGATTAGCTTCACCTTCAAGATCCTCACACTC